GTCTCTGCCCCAGGTGCTTGGCCCACTGGTGGCTCCATCTATGCTCCCTCCTGCTTCCTTCTGCCCTTCTCTCTTGGCTCTCCCTTCCTAGCACAGGGCTCCATGGCTTCTCTTTTTAAAGCAATATCAGTCATGAACACTTTACTGCTAAGTATTACCTAATCACATGTATACAAGAGGCAATATTAAGATCAGGTGAGAATCCTGGTCATGAAATTTCCATTTTCCCTACAGTTCTGAAAAATACTCTGCTGTGTAGAATGTAAATGCAGAGAGGTAAGGGGCAAGAGGGCAGACCAGTTAGCAGGCCACTGCACTAAACCTAGCTGGGGAAGATTGTGGGTTAGACTAGCAGGTTAGCAGTGAACATGGGCAATGGTGTTAAATTCTGGATTAACAGAATTTCAAAGAAAGAGCCCACTAACTGACTTTAGTGATGAATTGGACATGTTTTATAAGTGATTAAGAAGAACCAAAGGTGACACCAAGGATTTGGGCCTAACTAAAAGGAAAAACTGAGTTGCCATTTGCCAAAATGAAGAAAACCCAGGAAAAGAGAGTTTGGAAGGGAGGATGGAGATCTGTTTTGGATTTGTTATGCTTGGGATGCTTGTTAGATGGTGACTGTTATGCACAGCAAGACTTTTCTTGTTGATTCATTCATTAAACAGATATTGGTTGAGCACCTACTATGTGCTGGGCACTTGACACAGAGGTTAGGGCTAGTCCAGAAGTCTAAATCATGCAAATAAATGTAAAGTTACAACTGTGAAAAGTTATATGAATGCAAGATACATAGTATAGATAATGGGGCTTTGAACTAGATCAGGACATTAGGAAAGGCTTTTGTGAAGAAGTGGAGGTTGAGATGAGATTTTAAGCACAACTAAAACATATCATGTTCTAACTGAAAACATGCCTGTGTGATGAGTTACCAACCCTTAATGAAAGTAAGTGTCCAGGATATGGTGGAAATTCAGGAATATAGGACAAAAGAAGTTCCAAGCAAAGAAAATGGAAACAAATGAGAGAAAGAATGTTATGAAAGAAGGATCCAAAGATAGGAAATATGAGAAAGAAGGGACTTCAAAGTGAAATTTCAAACTTTCCTCCTTTTTCAGTTGACTGTAGAGAAATGGTAACCCTTACTCTAGTGCAGCAAGAAGAACTAATTAGACCAGCCACCAAGAACTGAATGCTCAGTGCTTGCATGAGTGGCATTAGTTAGCATCACTAAGTCTGAAATTTTACACCATATTTATTGGCATTTTGTCTTAAATTTCCTTCCCTGTCATCTTCTATTACAAAAGATAGCATTTACATTTTATTTGACATTCTGAAAATATAAGACAACTCTACTCAAAGATGTATTTTTCAAAAAATGTCAGAATCAGCTTGTTTAGTGATTATTATTTCATTGCAGCCACATTTCACTTTCATTTATTGTCTTTGCAAAATCAAATTTCGGCAAAATATGAGAAAGGAAGGGACTTGAAGAGAAACACCTTCCCTATCTATAAATATAAGCATCTAGTAAAGAGGAGAGTAAAAGATCTGGAAGAACTCCAGCATGAGTCAGAAATTCTGTTATCCTCTGTCCTTTTTGGCTCCCAGTTAACATAAAAAAGATGGAAACAGTATTGGATTGTGTGAAAGCTTTCACATTATTCTCATGATTTCTTGCCAACTGCCAACAGTGATTCCAGATCATTCTAGTGTATAACGAAGGGGTAACTGATTTTCAGTCACTGATTATCACCACAAACTCTGAACATCAGTACCCTATTGATTCCCTGAAGCCAAAGCTTCTTTATATAAGCAGTGGATTGAGTGTTAGGTGAAAAGAGAAATAATCTCCACTGATGACAGTTGAAAGCTTCTGCCAGTTCTGGGCCTCTTTGCCCTCATGTCTATTTCTTGCCCTACTCTACTTTGTATTGCTGGAAGACAGAACCACTCCACTGCCTTCTACCAGGAAAGAAGTCTCAGACTTCCCTGGCCTGGCACTTTTTATGCGACAGTCATCCTACTGGTGTCCTGGTCAGCCTCTTTCCTCCTACCCGGAATCAAATTTAAATGCAAAGAAATACTAAATTGCATACAAGCAACATCAATAGTGTAAACTTCAAGTTTATGCACTTGTTCTGCACTCTATTTTACTTTTGGTACAAAAAACTTAAAAAAAATCATAGGTCATCTGTTGGCCTTGATCTCAGGGCACTAAAGGTAAAAGGGACTCAAGGTTTACATATCTAAATACTAGGAAAAATTTGGTCAGATGATTTACCTAAGGCTCTTGAAAGGAATATCCTGGATATTAATTTAGCTCAAATGGATATTTAATTTGAAGTTTCTCTTCTCTTATTTGACTTTGAAAATATGCAAAGAAAAAATATATTACTGGAATGCATGCTTTTCATTTCATCATTTCTGAGTTTGCTATTTTCAAATTATAAATCCATATTTGAACAGATTTTAAAATGCCTCATACATTGCCACCCGGTCCTGAGATCAAAGCTCTGACACAACTACAAAATGCCTTACTTTAAGTTTCTTTAGCCAATAGAGTGTTGTTGTTACTTTTCTTTTATAAAAAAGACCACAATTCAGAAAGTCACACTTCAGGAAACAATGCTTCCAGAGTGAGTTGGTATTTTCCCCAAAAAATACTTGCAGCAGATTCGAGTTCAGTCAGTGTAACTCCAGGGGGAAAATCCTGGGGCAAAATACCTTTGAAACCAAAATCAGTCAAAGGGAGAAATAAAGTGGGAGAAACCTATTTATTGCTTACAAGCGGTCATCTACTTCTGCTCACCTGTGTCTCTCATAACCAGGCTGCAGAAAAAGGGACCCCACCTAACCTCTCTGGTCCAGATATGCCCTGGCTCCCCCCTGTAATTACCTATTTATATGGAGATGGACTACTCTCCACCCCTTGGAAACACCTATTGATAGGGAGATGCCCTAAGGCCAGGGGAGAGATTCTGGAAATATTGCAATTTTACCCACAGTTGGCTACTGCAATTCCAGTTTTTCAGCATTCCAAGGGCAATTTGGGATAGTCTTATCAGAGTTTTCTGCAGTGGGGACTTATTTCTGCTCATAACCTATTTATTAGTGACCAAAACAAGCCTGAATAGTCAGTCTGATACTCAGCTTTATATAGATAATTTTAAACTAGATAATTTTAAAACTAAAATCAAAGATCTAGGAGTTGATACCAGAAGGAAGAGATCATGTGTGGGCTTGTTTCACAGAGGAAAAAGTCTTATAACTTCAGTGATAAACTGTAAACTGATTTTGGTAAAAGTGGAAAACATCCTCTGAAAGTCTCCTTTTATTGATCAAGTGGTCAGTTTCCATCAGTAGAAATACCATAGCATGTGGCAAGCATGAGGAAGATCATTCCAGTTTCAAAGAGGAAAGACTCTAAAAGTTAGATCCTGAATGCCTATGTTTTTATGGCATTTATTACCTAGCTATTTTTATTTCTACTTGAGTTATTAAATCACTATGACTTCCCATAATTCTCCCTCATGGTGATCACTGAAAAGAATATCTGAACTTAATTACTAGAAGTGTTAAGATTTATCTTAGTTCACATTATTTATAATAGTTTCTGAATTAAAAAGTTTAGCCTCCTCCTTTATTCTGCTCTTGGGCACCGGCCAAGCAGGTAGATCATCCGACGTCATCTAGAGGCTGACGGAGTATCAGAACATAATGTCCCCACTGAAAAGTATCTGAGATATTTAATTCAACTCCCCCTAAAAGAGGAACAAATGAAAGTCTTGAACATCCCAATAATTGGTGGACTTTGCTTTCTCTCACCTGCATGCTATTTTTCTTATATATCACATAGTTAACACATTTAACAACCTGCTGGATGTTCTGTTCTTTATCTTCATTCCTCATTTTCCCAGATACAAAATAAGTTTCCCCAGGGCAGAACTGTACCTGACTCAATTCCATCCAATGTTGGATTTTTATAAGGCTCAACCCCCACTTTCACAGCTTATATGTGTTACTCTAATGACATTTGATGGAATACATTCATTGAATTTTATTTCTGCCCGGATAAAAAGCCAGCTCAGTGTGTGGCTATAGGGATTAAATAAGATCTTGTAAGAAAATGTATGGATGATAGTGGTTAATATTACCAAGTGTTGATGGATAGTTCATTAATCGAAGGGCAGGAAGGAGATAAACAATCTCAAAGGAGGTGTTTGTGACACAGCAAGCAACTCTCTGGATATGAGCTTGGCAATTTGACAAGTAGCGTCTGCACTGAATGTTGTTCCCCTGCCCTTTGATTTGACCAGTATTTCAACTCTAAACTGGGATGGAGCTTTTTACTGGCAGCAAAACCTACTCCTGCTGCTACAGCTGGAATGGAAAGAAGTCAATTTCTATTACGTACATTATTGGCACGAAAAAGCTCACTCTGTGATTCCTCCTTACTCATTTTGCCAGAATGACGCCAGAACTCAGAGTGAGCAACCAAATCACTAAAAGCATTTCATAATTTCCAGAGACATTTTTGGCTTGACGGTTCTCAACTGGTAGATTTATTCTGTTTCAATCATTATTGGCCAAAGTATCTTGGGATTTGCCCAATTGTTCTGTTTTTCCATGAAGTTTTTCTCCTTAGGCCAGTTCGGCCTCCCCACAGAGGCTGACAGAGGCTAAGCCACTTCTACTTTTTGAGTATATGATAACATAATACTAATGTATACACATAAAAAAAGATATTTACAAAATTGTTGTAGTATATTAAGTTTATATTTCATAAATTAATATAATATGATGATATATAATTGCTATTTAGTAGATAATTATAAGATTTATTTTTTAACCCTTGCTAGTAATTTGTTTAGGAAAGTTTGTTACACTTTCTACCCATTGACTTGGGGAAGCAAATCAACTGTGAATTTATCTCACTCTTTAAAACGAACACAAAAAGTGTTCTTTCCTACCTTTTAATGCTGTCTTCAACATTCAGGTGTTCAAGGTATTCAGCCTAAGGGACAAGCCATCCATAAGAGGAAAAACAGAAGGGCATTTGTCCTGCATGATGTTACTGAACTGCTGAATTGTCGCATTCCACCAGGTACATTTTGTTGTTACTTAGCCCTCTTCCAATCTTTCTCTGCTCTTCTCTTTATAGCTTGGGGGCAAGCACCCTGTAAGCAGCACTTCCCAGACTCCCTTGCCAGTAGCTGGTTTCTAGTAGCTTCTGTCAGTCAAGCCACTTGCACAAGACTGTATGGAGGGAAAAAAGAAGACAAAAGTCATTCTTTCTGCTCCTAGCTCTAACATTAAGAGCAGTGGGGGACTACAGGCAACGTTTATCTCCTCTACCAGCAACAGCTGGAGAATGCAGGTGGCTGGGGACTTTGGCAGTATCCAAGGGACTACAAGATCTGGTTTCTGACTTAGCAGTGGCAATGATGGGTCCAAGAGCAGCAGTGATGTTCCAGCAGCCTTTCTGCAAGAACCTTTAGGAGGTAACCCCTTTATTTCACTAGACCTTCCAGTATCTTGGGGACTGATTCTTTGCATTCAAGTCCCTCTGCTTAAAAAATGTCCAGTGATTTATATTTTCCTGTCTGTACATTGACTGATGTACCATACAGAGAACTGCTTTCTCTTCAGACTTATTATTACAAGAAATTATGAATTGTCTTTATTATATAAACTGCTTAATTAAAATGAAAGCATCCTAAGTGATGCTCAGATGTCCAGTTCAGTAGGTGTAGGAAAGGTAATTTGTTGAGCCCCTACTATGTGCCAAGCTTTATGGAAAATGTTTGATATACATTATATATGTTTTTAATAGAATAATTTGATTTTATGTGCCATATATACACTTCTCCCTTTATATTATAATCTTAATGAGGAGACAGATGCTGTATTTATCCTCATTTGTCATTCACTGTTCATTGAATAGTGCCTTGTCCACAACAGGTTCAGTTTGTTTTTGGATATTCTGAAACCATACCATAAACATGATGCACTCTCTGTCCTCCTCTGTTTTGAAGGACTTGTTTCTTTTCACATTTTCCATGTTTACCAGTATTCAAAGCAAATTAGCAGCTACAACCCTGCCTATTCCTGTGTAAAACAAATGTCTGTGAAGTCTTTTATCTATAGGTTATTTTGACATACACAATGTCTATTTTTGAGGCAAAAACTTTAATCTACTTAACAAATTCTGAATTGTTGAACTAGGCTTAACAAAGCTGATGGCCCTTTAAACAACCCAGCTTTCCCTCTAATGGGTCCTGATCAAGCACCCTCTACATTTCCAAGTGTTCCGAATGAATGAAGTGAAGCTGACCAGTGACTAGCCTATTGGCCAGTCTCCCTTCGGGCATTTCTCCTCCCTCACCCTCCCACACCTGCCGAATCCTACCCTGCAGCCTGCTGGGGCAGCAGCCTGGTCCCCAAGGAGGTGTGGGTGATGGGTTCTAAACAGTTATAAGTCAGCAGAGGAGAAATGTGAATGCTTCAGAAAATCAGCCATCTGGCCTTGGAATGAGAATGTAGGGAAGCATCAGAAGGGAAATCAAGAAAGGAGAGAAAAGAGAAACTGCCAGGGCTCTGGGGAGGAGGCCGCAGCTCAGGGAGAAAGGGCAGGGTAGGCGCTCGGAAGCAAGGCTGGGGAGGGATGGGAGCTGGCAGAACTGGCTTTCAGGCTGAGCTGCATGAGGAGGGTGCTAGCGAGGGTGTGGACCCTGGGAAGGAGCCTGTGCACAGGGACATGAGCTTAAAATTGGCCTCTTTGCTACCTGAGAGCTAGAGAGATTCAAATGGAATGTTTCTATTACTGAACTTAATCGAAATTAATGTTGTTATAGAAAATGAGAGAAATGCAGGAAATTAGAAAGAAGACAGTAGTCTTACCACCCTCTGTCATCCCACCTCCCACGCATGACCAGTGCCCATGCTCAGGTGCGTGTCCTTCCATTGCTGTTCTTTGCCAGGACTCGCATTACATAATGGTAGTGATGCCATTTGTACAATTTTACAATTCTGTTGTTTTCATGTAATGTAATTTTGTCATCATTTTCCCTATTTTTTTGTATTGTGATGTGTGTTATTATAATTAACACATAATAGTACATCAAATTTGTGCAATTCCTAACACATCCATTTACCTGTAGTTACATATTTATGCTGTTTCCAGTGTTTTGCTGTTATCAATAATGCTACCATGAACATCTAAATGTAAAGTTTATTTGGTGTTTCAGATTATTTCCTTAGGGGAGAGTTATACGAGCAGATTGATTAAGTGTATAGGCAAACATACTTCTAAGTCTATTGACAGAATAAATGGATATTTAATTCTGACAAACTTCTACATGCTGTTATCGGTGAAATACTTCCTTCTTTCATTATTATTTTAAGAATACATTACTGTTTTTCTCCCCTTCTTCTTCCGCACATGGTATAGAATATCATTAAAGTTCTAGGTCACTTTGCTCCCAGAAAAATTAAATGAGGACATAGATTGTAGTGCCATCACTTGAGCTGGCACTTAAGGCTTCTAGAGTTTTGTAGTGAGTAATGGCATCTCTGCCCCCAGCTGAGCAGTTGATGTGCCACAAACAAGCACATCAAGACTCTAACAAGACCAGTGCTACACTTGCAACTAGTGGCCTCAGGTGAGCAGCAGCGCTCTGCAGGCTCCCATAGGCAGGCCGTCCATGGATAACAAGGAAGCAGAATGACAGATGCTGTGGACTGAATGTTTGTGTGCAGCCCCTACCCCAGTGCAGTGTTGAAGCCCTAACCCCCAGTATGACCATATTGGGAGGTGGGGAGTGATTAGGTTTAAGTAAGGTTATGAGGGTGGGGTCCTCATGATGGGATTGGAGCCTTTATAAGAGGAGACCCTGCTTTCTCTCTGCCATGTGAGGACACAGTAAACCAGTAAACACCCCTGCAAAACAGCCAAAGGGCCCTCACTGTTCACCAGTCTTCTGGTGCCTTATTCTTGGATTCTCAGCCTCCAGAACCATGAGAAATAGATATTTGTTGTTTAAACCACCCAGTCTATGGTGTTTTGTTATAGAAGTCCAAACTAAGACAACAGTTCGTATGATCCAAACTTTCTTAACTGCCCAAATATTTCATTTGCTTCCAATTGTAACACTATTTTCACAAGTCAAATCACACTAAGGAACATTTCCAAAAGAAATACAGACTTCTTGTTTCTTTTACTAACTCTCAGTGACCTCAATGGCAGAAAAGTGGCTATTCCAAATCGCAAATCCCCACTAGTAAGCAGTTTAAGCACATTCTTGAAAGTCAATAGCGTATAATGGTTTTGCTTCTATATAATGAGGGAGTAATTAAACATGAAAATTTCTTCTTTTCTCTCTCTCATTTATGTACCTTTTCCATTCTGGGGGATCCTGCTACTCTTAAGAGTCTCATAAAGCTGGGGAGTTTTCATAGGAACCAGCCTCAGTCACTCATTTTACATCTAGGGAGATAGTGTTGTTGCTAAAGAAAGGGACTGAATGAGTTCAAGATTAGAAATGAAAAACCCATCTCTGATTCCACTGCGCATTGCTCTCTCACTCCCAGTTTCTCTATCAGGAAACATATTACTTATACCAACTGTGTTTCTTGCTCCTTACTACATTCTGCCTATTGAATACTTACGAAAATCATCATATATATTTTTAAATAGAAAGTCATTTATTCCAAAAAAAACTGCCTTAAATAACTTACATTTCCTACAGAGCTACACTGGTAATGAAACAGTGCTAATTGATTACTGCTGACAGTATATAGAGACTGTAAATGATCACCTAAAGTCTATAAATCTTAAGTTGAATGTAGCTCTAAATTGTTGGACTCAAGACTCACTGAAACCAGCATTAGACATACATAGGAATCCAAAATTTGCTTCCTATAAAGCAAGTGTTTTAATCAGTAAATACATTAATGATGAGATATTGTCAACCCACCACACAATTGTACAATAGACTAATTCTTTTTAGTAATAAAATAATTTTAATTATTACATTGCATTTCTATGAAAAATTCCATATGAAGAGGAGGAGAATATCCTTGTGAAGTCTCTTATTAACCCAGTTTTAACAAGAAGTGCAAATGGAAGGTAATCAGCCTTTTGTGCACAGCATTATGTGACGGTACAAAACCATGCAATCACATAGATATTTTGCTCTCTGTAACTAGCTCTGAATAATCAGTGATTTTCAATGGCAGAAAAGTGGCTATTCCAAATCGCAAAACTAGAAAAGTATTGTGATGTTTACATTTAACCCAGATATATTCTCTCTTGATGGTATTTATAGACTTTTTGAGAGGGAGGAGAACAAGGGTTGTTTTTAATATTTCAGATTTGTTGAACACTTGGCTCAGAATTGTAAAAACACATTACTATTTGCATGGTTTTGCCAAATTATATTTTATAACCATTACCTTAAAAATATGATAACCCTCGAACATTGAGTTGACTGTTTTATATTGTCCATTATGGCTGAAGACATCCCGATTGCCAAAAATAGACTGGAAAGAGGACAAAATTTGCAGTCCCATTCAGCACATGGTGGTATAGTCTGGCTTCATTTAAGCTCTTAAGAAGAACAATGTGCTCATGGTGTTCACATTCATTTATAACACAATTTACATCATCCCTGTTTCCTTTATCAGGCATTCTTCACCTAAGGGACAAGTGGACGGATGCCAGGGGTCTGAAAGGAGCAGTGTTTGTCATGGATGGAGGTAAGAGTAATTGCATGGAGAAAAATTTGACAGCATTCACCAAATTTTCACAGTGATATAAAAACTTGAATTGTCCTAAAGATCCCAGACCTTGTTCAGGCTGCTTTTTAAAAATTAATTAATTAGTTAATTAATCAGTTTTTATTGAAGTGTAGTTGACATACAATATTATATTGGTTTCAAGTAGGTAGCACAGTGATTCAACAGTTACCCACATTATTAAATCCTCACCCCCTCTAGTGCAGTTACTGTCTGTCAGCATAGAAAGATGTTACAGGATCATTGGCTATAGTCTCCATGCTGCACTTCCATCCCCGTGACCAACTTATATTATGATTGGGATTTTATGCCTCTTTATCCTCTTCACCCACTTCACCCACCCACCCCAACCCCACCCCAAGGTTGTTTTCTTTTGTTTTGGTTTTTGTTTTCTGTTTTTGGTCAGATTTCTTCTGAGTCCCATGTACAATACTTCAAAAGTTCTATCTTCCACCTGGATTATCCCAAAGCCCATTGATGCAGCCCTATAGACAAGATTGGTCTTTCTAAAGATTAGAGAAATCTTTAGTCTTTTTTACTGGAAAATTACTGAATGATTCTGGACTATTTAGAATCCATTCCTAAAATTCCAACTGCCACTATCAGATTTTTTAATCACCCATAATTCATGAAAATTGGGAAAACCATATTTGATTAAAGAATAGCTGGCATGCTTTAGAAAGTTTCAAATGGAATATGGAGAAGGAAGTGATAAAAACTTGGAAACTTTGAGTGATCTCAATGGAAAGAATAGCAATGAGAGAAGCTTCTGGAAATATATAAAGGAAAATAATTGGAAAGAAGATCAGGAAAAGTTTTTACTACCTATTTGTCTACACACAGTGGGTGGGGCTTAATAAAAAAAACAAAGGAACCTAGAAATTGTGAAGCAGAAGGCTGTGCTCAAGAATTCTTACCCTAAACATAAGATGCCCCTGCCCAAGGAACCAGCCAAATGGAAAATCACACAGAGTATTGAGGTTCAAACCAACAGCACAGGAATGGAGAGGAATACTACTCCGTGAGTTATGAACAGGTGTGTAGATGTGGAACAAGAAATTTTGAGCCAGAAACATGAGAATGAAAACAAGCTCAAGCAGGGATTTTAAAGGTTTGAGCAGATCGTGACAACACCGAGAAGTTCTAAGATTTAAAAAGTCTGCTTTGTTCTCCTTAAAACAGTGTTTTAAGAACATATTTAAAATAAGATTTAAATCCATTTCTTAAGTAATGCTAGTCAACAATCCATAAAACAAGTGTTTTTTAGAATGCACTTTAGGGATTAGCATTGTTGATTTACCAACTAGCTAAAGTCAAGCTCTAGATTCAGAATGCCTGGTCTCAAACCTAGTTCTGATACGTTCTTGGACTTCTAATTTAAACATTTTGTACCTCAGTTTTCTTAACTATAAAATCAGGCTCGTGAAAATTTTTTCTCATTGTGTTGTTACAAAGGTTAAATAACATGAACCTGTAAAGCATTTGACACAGTGCTGAGACCATAGTAAACTCTAGATAAATGTTAGTTGTGATTGTTCTCCTCCTCTTCCTCTTCCTCCTCATTACTGTCAGTGAGTTGGCCCAGCTTAAGAGTAACAGAAAAGTAATATATTAGTCAAACAGGCCAGAATTTCCTATGGTGACAACCTCCTGATTCCAGTGACTTCAATGTGTACCACCAGGAGAAGTCTGCTCATCCTGGTCACTCGGGGGCCCAGGTTGATGTAGGCTCTGTTTTGCACATATTTCCATGATTGTTGACTCAGGAAAAGAGGACATGGAGAATTACACATGGTGATTAAAGCTTCTAAACAGAAGTGATATAAGCTGTTTTAGTTCACGTCTCATCGGCCAGCGCAAGTTGAATTTTTATATTTAACTTCAATACTTGCCAGGCACATTGCCCCTTTCTTGTTTTTTGGTACCTGTTGACAATGTACTACCTATATTTTTCCTCACTCGGTTCCCCTCCATACTGATACCTTGTATTACTTTTGACCAACTTTTTTAAAATGAAAAATTTTGATGCATAATATCCCCTCTACTTAAGATGACGTGATCTCTAAAGGCTTTTCCAGTCCTAAAGTAGTAGGATTACCAATCTTCCCATTGTGTACTCTAGGCCGTAGAGTATTCCTTGTTTATCTGCACAGTGACCATTAGAGTCAATTCCCATTCTCCAATAATTATGGATAGGGAAGGAGCATTGGAAAAAACATTGCTAGCATACAAAACCAGTAAGTTTTAAAAACCAAAGAATAAAACATTTTCCTATTAGAGCATGTGACTAAGCAAGAACAACATAAATAATACAAAGAAACCCTAGCAATTTCTTGACCCCCAAATAGATATAATAATGCATTATACAGTTGCCCACAATATATATCAATCTGTCTACATGAGTGATTTACACTGGCATGCTTGCTAAAAATGTAGATTCTTTAGTTTCCAAATCAGACCTGCTGAATTGGTTTCGATGTGGTGTTAGCAAAGTGCTTGGGACATATAAGGTGTTCAATAAATAGTAGCTGTTTTTATTATTAGCAAGTAAAACTGTTAAACATATTATGTCCTTTAAAAAAGAAAGGAATAAAAAAAAATCCAAGTCAGGACTTTCCCTAGTCTTCAAAGGCAATATCAAGGTGGCTTAGCAGAAACTCAAGTGTGCAGCCTCTTTTGAGGGTAGAGATGAGAGTAATAGAGAGAGAGGAAGGGCCTTGGGAATATGAGTGGAAGAAAGGAAGAGTAAAGCAGTGAGTCAGACTTCTCCTGCCCTTGAGCCTGGGTGAGTGACAAGCAGGAGGTGATTGCATTTTCACAAGAAGGGTGTAGGCAACAAGTGTTACAATCGGTAAGAAAGTCACCAGAGCCAGGGGCTGACCCAGAGCATTTGGTCCAGCCTTAGGAATGGAACATTTGGGACCACTGTCTCATTGAAAACATTGATGGTGATTTGTGACAGACATGATATAAGATGGGGGGAGAGTAAGGGCCAACTGAAGGTAACCTTGAGATTTCAAGACAGTGTGACAAGGATGGATGGTGTTGTTTGATTTGCAGGAGAAAAAATATTAGCAGGAGTTGGATACGTTTTATTTTCCTAGTGATGGAAATGTCACTACAAAGCCTCTTCAAACTTTGGTGTCCGTGGCTTAGTCTGTCGTAAGAGGAGTTTACACTGTAGTTTATTATTCAAAACCAGAGGTTTAATGTTGCACACAGGTGATTATTTGAAGTCGACACCCCAGAGAGCTCAAAGTGCTTCTGCATGTTCCGTGATGCTTCCCTTTCATCCTCCCCTGCTTCTTTGACTTAATAGTCACCCTCACTCCATGATCCACTTGGGTTTTGCAACAGATCCCTTCTGACAGGTGTACAAATCCTCCCAGACTTAGTGCAAAGTCATGGAGCTGAACTAACCTCTCCAATTCTTGTTTTACCTCTGGGTTGTTCTTTCAGGTGTGTGTGAAGGAGGCATCCTGAGCAGCAGGATTAAAAATCACAAAGAAAGATGCCTGGAAGGGTAGCTGGCCCCACCACATGTGGCCACACCCACATGAATGCCAACAGCAGGTCTCTGAGGGGAGGCACACAGCAGAAAGAGCACAGCCCGACTTGCAGATGCCTTTTGGAGCTGGTAGCCTGGTATGTGTTTTGATTTGAGGATTCCGCAAATCAGCTGAGAATGTTGTAAATGGCAATAACTATGGAATGCAAACAGCTTATTTTTAATAAACTGTCTTCTATCTTTTGAGAAACAAGTGTTTTAATAGGTGAAATGTATCTGAAGTTGGAAATCTAAAAGTTTGTATGTAATGCTATGGGGACAATACTGTTGGGGGAAAACAGTCCTAAGAATAGAGGGTTTCTACATAATCTTCCTTACTCTGACTTTGATTCTTTCCTTGAGGCAACTATCAAAATGAAATCTCACCTCTAGACAGGATATGGGGTGATGTCAAGCAGCCAGGTGTATCCTCAAGGTGAAAAGGTGGAGCATTCTGCTGGAGAAATTCCCAGCCATGTTAAGGAGGAGGTCAGCCTCACACCTCCTACAAGGAGGCAAGCATCCTCCCAGCCTCTTCAAAGTCTGAAGGGCTGGAGAAATGCCTTTTATAAAATTCAAAGGGCCTTAAGAATTAGAATAAAAAAGAGCACAAGTTCAGAAATGTTCATGAGTGTGAGATCTTCCATGGGAGAGTCTTACAAAAACATATTCTCTGTCCCTGAGATTTTGACACAGCTGCTTTAGGGTGGTTCTGGGAATCTGCATTTTTAATAAGCTCCTAAGTGATTCACACTTAGAGAAATACTAAACTAGGAAAAGATGTAGAGAAAGAGGAAGAATCAACCCACCTATCTTCCTCCCAAAGATAATCACTGAACTCTTGCTCTGGGCCAGGCACTTTGCTATGGAATTAGGGATATAATAGCATATTTGCAATTTGATGTAACAAATTACCCCAAATTGGGTGACTTAAAGCAAAAGAAATTTATTCCATCACAGTTCACAAGGACAGGAGTCTGAAGTCAAGGTGTCAGTAGGTTGGTTTCTTCCAGCGGCTCCGAGGGAGAATCTACTGTTCCATCATCCTTCTTTGCTTTAATTAAACCGTTTATGGTTCTTAACTTGGGCCCTTGATCTCTTTCCCTGCTCCTTGGGCCTGCCGTCTAGCATTTTCTACTACACACTGATCTCATTGGGGAGGCTCTTTTGGGCCAGGCTTATCGGTCCTGGGATGAACCCGGCTGAGCCCTCGGCAGATCTTCAGGTGGGAACTCATAACCCCGGGGCCCCAGATCCCTTGGTAACAAGCAGTGGGCAGGTCTGAATCCAGGACACTGGGGAGCCGGAAAGAGAACTGTTTCTTTAGGAGATTTAGGGCCACAAGATCAGATCACATATGTTCAAAGCACTAAATAAGTGAAGGCAATAAAGTCTCCCTTTTGATCACTGCTTTCAGAAGTAGCAGAGTCGTGTTGACCCATGAATGGCTTCTCAGTGAGCCTGGCTGACCCGCATTTTGCCTTAATGTCCCTGCAGTGAGTCTGCCTATCAGGAGTTTTAACAGAGAAATCTCTGCCCTTTGAAATTAAATAGGATCTCTTTCTTTCCTGGGCTATTTAATGCAGCCTACTATTGTTATGCTAATGTAGCCTCTGTTAACACTGAGGCTACTTTATAGAATGCCAGGATGTGTAGGGGCAGCATTCTATAAACCAGTTAATTTTTTTCTGGAGTGGAGAAATCATCAATTTATTCGGCAACTAACCAACTTTAAATGCAACATGGACTAAGGAAAGATGAATAGTGAGAAGGAGACCTTTGGGGGAAGATGACACATTTGACCATCAGTAGTTACCTACCAATCATGTAAGGAAATTAATATCATGTCTCTTTGGCTATCCAAGGAAAAGAGGTTCCAGGCTAGCTAATTCTAATACTGTTTCTCCTCAGCAGGAGGAATATCCCATGTGACAGATGGATGCAGGACCATTTTGAGACTTCACAGGTCCTTCTCACACCACCCTTTAGGAAACATATTTAAATGCACCCACTTTCTTATTAAACATATACTCTTGGGGTAAGGTTTTTGAAAAAGACATTTAAATGTGTGCTTTCAAAATATGTGGCTTTCAAAATATGTGGCTGCAGGTCACTCATTTAATTTATCACTAGTCAGTGATAAATTGACTAATTGATAAATTGATAATTTATCATGAGTCAAATTCTCATGCATTCTCTGGGATGCTTGCAATTTGTCTTCAACCATACAAACCGTAGTAATAAGTGAAGTTGACATACGTTTCATTTTGTAGACATGGAAATAAATATCTAGGACTTTTGATTGTGCAATTTTGTTTTTGGATTTAGAGCCAGCGTTTTGTTTTGGTTTTTTTCCCCAGGATTTATCCATGTTAGTAAGACCTTGTGAAGGTCCTAGTCCTGGCATTGTGTCTATTGGATGTAGTAGACAGAATGGCCCTGGATGGATGCCCTGGTTTCTTTTAGCTTGTTGACTATAGCCTTATGATTTTCTACTGTATGATCTCACTCCTATTTAATGTTTTCCAAACCACCTTCTGGTTGTAGCTTGACCACTCAATAACCTTCCTACACACACACAAAATGTGCTGAGCAATGAAGCCTAATATAGCAAATAATAAATGTATATACATGTAACTGCCATCCATAAAATTTATCAAATGATTATTATATGTTAGGCACAACTATACAATGTATTTACTGTATTTCTTTTCCTCTAATTTATGTCTTTATGCTTTATGAAAAGAAGTGATTAACAGGAAAAGAGAAAAAGGACAGAGGAGATAAAGATTAGATAAATAGAAAAAAGAAGACAGAATATACTGGCTCAGCAGTGGATTTCTAGAGAGGTAACAGATTCAATTCCCAGATCCTCCTTTAGTTAATTTCAGTACAACCTCGGGCAAGTTATTTTACACATCTGAACTCTGGTCTCACTCTACACAAAATGGAACTAAAAATAGTGCTCATTTCAGATAATCCTTGTGAAAATTTATGGACCCAGTATACTAAGAGGGCCTGACAAATAATGAATACTCATTAAATATTAATCATTATTATGAAATCTGCTTAAAAATTTAACCTGAGTTTGGATCTCCTTGAGCTTTAGTACTGCACATTCCTGGGACCAGTGGAGCTTCAAAATCAACAAGTTGGTCTGGGATGTTGTAATGCAATGCAGTTTATGAAGAGGAAAAGCTCATCAGGTTTAGGACCTGGGCTGTCTTTGAATTTCCAATGCTCCATTACTTCATTTTATTTCTGTTGCCTTGAAGTTAAAACATTTTAAGGCATTTTTTTCTTACTCTCTTGAAAACACAAAACATTAAACAAAAGAGGAAAAATCACCCTCCGTGACTTAGACATTCTAGAGGTCACAGAATCTTCAAAGTTTCTAAATTGTGGGCCAGCTGCTCTCCATCTCCCAATACAGAACAGATTTTCAGTGCAGAATTCACAACATTCCTTTCATGTCCTTCATTAAAGGATTTTTGCATGATAGCAACTCCAGTTTCATTCCTCTTCCTTCTCTTTTGGCCAATATCTTATCTGGCAGCATTATCAGTTAAATATTCATTGGTCAAATTAGAATTCAGCCAAATGCTTTCCTACTTAAAATGGCTGGGTGAATATAGTGATCATTTGTCAATGTCCCCTTCTGAATTGTTAGTGAGACAGACTTGCACACATTGTTCGAGACAGAAAATGAATAGTTTCAGTTGCTATGGTTACAGCTAGGGTTTGGGGTAGTTATTTACAAGGTGTCTTTGTTTTTAGACTCTGCACATGTGCACATGGTGCACATCTACATATGCATGCACACATGTGCTTGTGTATTTAAGTCTAAGATATTCTGGAAAAGTACCCATTTCAAATATTCTGTCCCGAATGTCTCTATTAATCCCCTTATCATTTTTAGATTATTTATTGTGATTTTCTCTTCAGCAGTTATGATTTCATATATATCACAAAAGGGATATCACAGATGTTACAGCTACTATCCTCAAATGCTCTGAAAATTGAGATGTTTGCTGTGTTGAAAATTCATTTTTCATTGTTAACATTTATTTCCTTTATCCATTTACACAACAAAAAACCCTATAACAAAAAGTAAACTGAGGAGAGGAGTTTAGCAGTTTTACCATTTTGCTAGATTCCTTAAACACTGTACTAGGCAGAATTCTTAACTTTCAGTAACAGAAACTGGGTCTGGCTGATTAAGAAAAAAAGGGACTTCATTCAAAATATAAGGACCTCCTCAGACTCACAGGAGGGCTAGAAAATCAGGCTCAATACTATACTTTGAGGAATAATACGCTAAATCACTCTACAGAAGCAGTCTGATAAAAAAAAAAAAAAAAAAAAAAACTGTCTCCATCCAGCTCCAGATGCTCCAGTTCATCTCTGTCTCTTAAGCACCAGGAACTCAGCTTTACTGCATCCACCATTGTCTGCCACTCTGATGCCAGAATTCTACATGAGACACAGCCCTTTAATCAAAGTAGTAACACTGGATACCATCTTTGCCAGGAAATGGATTCTGCTCTTCTGCTGGTCGCTTCACATTTTCAGTCTCATGTGGGTGTGTCTGATTGGAGGAAATGGATCATTTTACTGCACCCAGCAGGGAGGATAGGTTAGGAAATGAGTTGTGTGGCTTTTCCAGGAGGAGGCAGGACTCAGGAAAAAAAAAAAAAGGTTCTCAAAAAAATTTAGGGGTTCAAAAGGTGCCGGAAAGCAGGAAAACATAATACATGATCACTATAAATACAATCTGAAGTGTATATAACGGTCTCTCAGTTAAATAGTCTTTTATTTAAAATAGTCAAGCCAGCCAATTAATTAATTCAAACAAGGAAGAAACTCCCTACGTTTCTAAGGCCAATTCTTCTCCTTGTGCACTATGTCCATCTTCCCTTACCTCCTGAGAAGCATTGCTCCAAACACATGTTAGGAACTTTACTCTTTCTACCAGACTATTTTCAAGAGAATAAACATGCTCTTAGTTTTCTCATCTTACAAACAGACAATCAGATACCTTTCTACCTTGTCTCCAGTTACTCTCCTCCAGGTACTGTCGCGTTCTGATACATTTTGCAGCAGACTCTGAAACAGAGTTGTCCATATTT